AGAGACTGATTTGTGTACCTTCCACCTGATGCACTGGGAGTATTGTCATTAAAGAATTCATCTTGGTTTGTTAATTAAAAGCAATCGCTACTGAAGCACCAGCTTTTGTAATGAAATTTGGGATATAAGGAACAAAGCATCTTTTTTTCATCAGTAGTTTAAACCTCTGTGCAGCTGACAGAGCCATGCTTACTAAATGCTAAAATGAAAAAACACAAGTCATTGGCAGATGAGCTTGGACTTACCAGTACCCGACAGCAGTTATGTGCAATCCCAGAGCCGTGTCTCTCCCTGGAGCTCAGGGCTTGCTCAACCTCTTCCACGCCTGGCTCGGCACCCTTCATGACATGGGAGAACAGCACGCAGCGGCTTTTACCTGTGACACCGGAGTGTAGGATTCCTCCTGGTTATTCCATAACTCCCTGCAAAGCTTGGAAGCTTTGGTGACCTGCCCTCACCCCAGCAAAATTCTCATAGAATTAGGAGCAAGTAATTGATATATGTGAGTGAACTTCAGATGTGTTAACAGTAAAACGTGTACAGTACATGTTATATATACATTTATATATACACACCGTGCTGTCTATCTTGTTTGACTGTCCAAGGATGCCACATTCATCATGGGTCCCAATAAAACCAGAGTCAAATGAGGCATGCATCTTTTTGTATGTCGTCTTTTGTACTTCAGTACCTTCAAGTCAGCGAGAATATTGCCATGGTATACAGATAGTTCTTCAAGTTGCTCAGTCTTGATTACTTCATGTAAAATAGCTCTAATAAACCTATTTTATTCTTATATTTCTTTCATTGCCTTTATTTTCAGCTACCAGCTAAATTTTGTGCCACAAGACCATAGCATGAGAGCAGACAGAAGTACATCTCTTCTTTCTGTGAAACAACCTTAAAAGAAGCTGCAGCATGTATGATGTTGCAGAGATATGTATGAGTTATTGAGATGTTCTGTTTTAGGAATACTGAGAAGAACAGGGCATCTACCTCCATGACCTGTCTCTTGAGTAGTACTTGAGCTGAGTGACAGCAATGGCAGAGCTGGTGTGCTAACCACCCAGGGAATCCAGTTGCAGTGCTCCTTGCTCAGAGCCCTTCTGCCACATTAGGCAAAGTCTGGTTGTACTTCAGCATTACATTAGGTGCAGGAGACTTTCTGCTGATGCTGCCTGTTTCTAGCTTGCAGAGCATGGCCTCTCTTCAATCCTAGCCTACAGCAGGTATGGCAAATAGCACAAGATCCAAAAGATTACGTTTTAAATACAGCCTCCTAGGAAACACACACTGCTCAGCTGGTTGGGGTGTTGTTTCCCATCATTGAAATTTGAGGTTTTGGTTAAATATCTAATTCTCCTTCATCATCTTATGATAGCAGCAAGAAAAGTAGTCTTTTCTCACTGTCCCTGTAGTGCTCCTATTACTAAAACCCCAGCTTGCAGCCAGCAGGAGAACAAAAGGTTTGGTTGTGTTCTGGGCAGGATCACAGCGAGATACTACATGGAGCATAAGCCAGCCAGTACAGCCATGCTGCAAGAAGCTGCTCAGCTTTCTAGTCACTTTACCCAACAGCATGTTGGCTGTGTTGTTATGCTGCTGCAAGGGGAATCAACCTTTGTGGGTTTTGCATATGACACAGTCAAGGATAAATACGTTCAAGCAGAGCTGGAGCCAGAGCAGCAGCCAAGTGTATCACAGGAGTCCAGCTGTCGCTATGTTATAGTTGCCACAGTCTTCCCAGGGACTTTTTTCCAGGAGAGGAGATGGTGACAGTTGTTGCTGTGCAGATCACCCACCTGAGGCTCGTGGCCTCTCATGTACCTGCACACACCACAGCTGGACTGAAATGAAAAAGAAGTTTGCACCTTTCCAGAAAGCCTGGGCATCATCAGCTACATGAAGAGCAAGACAAAGGTAGCATAACAACAGATGGGCTTGGCAGGCTCCTGCAATTCATACACAGTGGTCTTAATAACGTGGGTTTTCAGTTCTGGGCCACTCATTACAGGAAGGACACTGAGGTGCTGGAGTGCATCCAGAGAAGGGCAACAAAGTTGGTGAAGGGCCTGGAGCACAAGTCTTACAAGGAACTGCTGAGGGAACGGGGGTTGTTTGATCTGGAGAAAAAAAGGCTCAGGTGGATCTAAACACTTATGTACCTATCCACAGATCAGGGAATCTGCTCAGCCCACTTATTTTTACTGCCAACATGCTTTAGATAGATGAGCAGGGAATATTGATTGCTCTGGTAGCACTTACCTGTGGATACTGCTCCTCTGTGTATTAGGAGAGGTCATTACAGTTTGTTTTGTCAGTGTATTTTAATAGTGACCAAGATCAAGATATATTTTGGTGAGATCACTTTTTGTATTTGTTTTGTCCTTCAGACCAATTTACGTACATTTAAGGGTACAGATTATTTCAGAGCAACAAGCAGTGCTTACCTGAGTTTAATCCATAATTAGAAGTCAGGTTTTTTTCTGTAATGGGGGTTGCTTGCTGCCCACTTTTGCAGGGGATCCTAGCCTCAACATCACTGCTGTAGTCTTCCCATAGAACTGCGGGATTATAGTAGGGACAGTTCCAAAAGCACATTTGCAAAACAAAACAGCTGAAATAGGTCAGTGTGATGCTCCATTTGCTGTTTAAATCCTAGATAAAGCGCTAGAGTTTCAATCCCAAGCTCCACAGAGCGAGTCAGGGGCAGGAACCAAAGGCAACACAAACATGCCGCCCCAAAACAAAGCGAGAGCCTCTCAACTAAGCCCCAGCAGAATTTACTGCCACACATCACTGAGGTCTATGCTTGCTGCTTTCATGAGCATCAGGGGTTGGGGGTTTTGGCTTAAGCTAAAAGAGTAAAAGCAAAGGGAAAAGCTAGAAAAGATTCAGAGAGGTAATAAACATGCAGTAATTAGTGCGAAAGAAAAGAGCCCATGAAACAATCAGCTCGACCCAGGTAAGGAAAGGAAAACATGCTGTAAACGGAATATCTGGGGGGGTAGGAAGTGCAGAACTAACTTTGCTATATATTTTTCAACTAACAGGTACTTAAAACAAGTAAGCGAGAATGTAAGGCTCATCTGTACTACAACAGAGATGCTTGCTGAGCGCTGTGCTCTGCGCTGGAGCTCTGAAACACAAGGAGAAGCTGAGAAGGACTGAATCAGTACAAGAAGCCAGCTCAGAAACAAGTTTTTAAAGACACCTGCTGGAATGTTAATGTTTCATTTGTCAGGCATACTAAACTACTCATGAATCAAATATACTACTCATGTAGTTATAAACTACTCATAAATCAATCAAAAGCACCTTTTGAGCAGGCTGAGAAGAAACAGACAAGGCAGAAAGTTTCAGTGCTGTGGAGGACTAAGAGTCACAGCTGATGCCACAATGGCATCAGTTGCTTGGCCAGCCCAAATGTTTAATCCTGTTTTAAAGAGGGGAGAGCAAGAAAGTTTAGCACAGTTCTTCACAACTACCAGGTCCTAATGCACAAAACAGATGGATTTATCTACATTCGAAACAGATAACTGGACAACATAGATATAGAGGGAGCAGGGAACTTGAATGGGTGCAGGACTGGAAAAGTCTTCAAAGTAGGCAGTCTCAAATTTCCACTGCACTATGGGGAGGCATCTATGAAGTCTAATTCCATTCACAACAGATGACTTTCCTGAGGCTGCCTCTATACCCAGATGAGAGAAGCTTGTCCAGAGCTCTGGTCAGAGCATTAGCCTAGGCAGATGCTCTCAATCACCTTTTCCTATCCAGAGGCCCTTGAAAGTGTCCTCCTAGTCTGTAAGGCACCTGAAATAGATGTTACTGATTAACCTCAGATGCTCCTTCTCTATTATAGTAAAAAGGGGATTTAACAGAACATGGTGAACAAGACACTTAGCTGTTTGTAATAAAGACATGCAAGATGCAAACATAAGCCCAAACATGGCTGAAAAAAGGACTTCATTTTCTCAGTAGCACCAGGGAACTTTCTCAGCAGCTATCAGGTCAGTTCCTCAGAAGCATATATGGAAAATGGCTGGGCTACAAACAAACATTAGCACATCAAAGTGAGATCACAGCGAAACACCATCAACAGTCCTCATGAGAATAGCCTGTTGTCGCTCAAATAGTTTTGTTTAAAAGGCACAGGATTAAACCATGCCACGTAGAGCCCTCCCGCTTCAGTGTCACTGCCTGCTTCAAACTCGCTGACTACAAAACGTTTCAGGAATCACCTCGGTGGCCTCTACCAGCAGTGCTGATGCACAGCCTCTGCACACCAGCTTTCCTCCAGGAAAAATACAACCGTGTGATGGTCTCTGTGCCCTCAAGTTAGCTGACCAGCTGGAATGGGAATAGTAAACAAACAGGCAATTCCTGCTACATAAACAGCATCCATAGCACACACCAAACTCTCTTCTCTGTGAAGCACCCACGACTGTTCAGGGGTTTTCAAGATATGGGCTCCTGGTTCCTCGACTCCAGCTCTGCAGGTCTGCCACTGTTTGACCCCTGGGAACAACCAGATTGGTTGTTCACTGCTTCAGCCAGTCGGTTCTCCCAAGCCGTTCTGGTGTGGAGAGGAGCAAAACAACCCCATGAAACATTACTGCACCTCTTTTAAAAAGATAGCCAACCTTTAATGCTGCAAGTGGCAGATCCTACACTCCTAGCTAGCTGGATTCAACCACAGAGGGCAGGCAGAACCCACACATGGCACACAGCCTGATCCCCAAAACACACAGATGGGAACTAAAAGAAATTCCGAACAGCCAAGTAAAACTCCACTTACATTCCGTATGGTATTACTAGGCTTGGTAACTGCTGCGATACATTAGTTACCTGAGAACGGACAGAGTTCAGGTCATTAAGAAAACCACTACTTCTATACATGCTTGTTTTGTTTTTGGTTTTTTTTTTAGGGCATGTGAAGTCCTCTGAAGGTTAACCAACCAACCAACCAAGGCCACAAAACCAAGCAGACACCTAGATACAGCTTCCTCTCAGTTTGTTTTATTTGGCAAAGTAGCAATTCAGACAGTTCACACAGCATTTATTCAAGCTTTTCAAATCTTCTGCATTTCAGTTTGTCCTCTTCTCCAAGTTTTTACTTCAGAACCATTGCTCCATCATGAAGGGGCTTTCCTTCTCCAATTCCTAAGTGTTACTCCTGGATAATCCTTTTCTGTCCAAGTACCTTGACTATCAGCACCCCCTTCAGTGGAAGGGCTGCACTAATCCCAACAGCCTTGGTCCCTGAAGTGGTTCTCCCCCAAAGAAGCTGTTGCTGGGTCTCAGCTGTATCACCTCTTCCAAGGGTAGGCTAGCTTATCACACTGTGTCCAGAGACAAGAATTTGGATACAGTTGAGCTCGTATCTTTCATTTAACTGATTAAATTAGTGAGGAGATGTAAATAAAGCTGAACTCAAACCGAGTGATACAGTGACCAAAAGGTTGAACATTAGCATGCATGCATCATTTAAGATATTTCACTTCAACACCAAGAACTAGATTCACAGTTGATTGTGGGTTAGTACAAATTTGTCAGACGCAAGTGGGGTTTTCTGAATTGTATTGTCTAGAATACACACTATATTAATTCCTTTGCAAGATTAACCTCGTGCGTGTGCTCCCAGGCTGCCGTTGGGTCAGGAGGTGGTACATTAACTTCCCAACATCTAAATATATTAAGCAATACATATCTTTTACACAGGAATAGGACGGGATCTGCCTTCAAAAGGAAGGTTATTTAAAATGTTCCTCTTTCATATTCAGAGGCCTTTGAATTTCAACCTTTATGCTTTCAGGGATTAATCTTGTCACAAAATCATTGCTGTTCCACCATAAAAAGTCAATATATTTTTGCAGTGATCACTCTGGGTTCTTTTATGCAAGTTATTTTAGTCTATAATCCTTTCTACCATTAAAAAAAGAAAATAATGATAACATGCTGTTTACTTTAATTCCTGGTTGCTCAAATCTGAGAAGATGACTCAAGATCCACTTCCCCCCTTCCCAAAGCAGCCCACCTTATGGCACTGCTTTGCCATTTGCTGTTGACAGTTACAGCACTGAAACAGAAAACTTGAGGCAGAAAAAAAAAAGGTTTATAGCCTTCCAAAAGTGAACAATTGCCAATCTATCTGTACTTACAAGTCCAGGGTTCATTGTTCCTCCTGCATGTATCATGGTTTCCTTGTGTGGCAATTAAAATTCATCTTCTAAAAAGCCAGAATTTTTCCTGGGTGCCCACAGTTAGAAAAATGAGAACATTAACAGAGCAAATGGCTTTGCCAAAAGCAACTTTCCTTTAGAACCAAACTGGAGTTGGTTTGGTTTTTTAATAAAGAATCTAGCAATCCCTATCTCGGTATTCTGCTACATACTGATCCTAGTCTTCCACACAAGCACACAACCTCCCTCTTGCTTTTACCTTTATTTGGCAAAGCAGCATTGTGTAAACTGTTCAGTGATTGGGACACAGCTTACATCATATCTACGGTGTTAAGTCCATGTGTATCTCACTAGTAGTGAGCTATAAACCAAAACGGAATTTCAAGACTCCACTGATTAATTTTAGAAGGATTACAACACACCTGTTGTGTCCAACTTGAACAGCCATGTTCGATAAGAGTGGCCACCCACCTCTGATGTTGTGAAGTTTAATATATATACAAATGCCTGGTTTTAAGGTAATAAAGCAGCTGATTGTATCTACTACATGCTAGTCTATGACACCATGTCAAAAGCTTAAAAAGGAAGTTCATCTCCTTTTAGTAGCATCTAGCAGACATTGGAAGACAGAAAACCTGGTATTGCCTACGTAGTGTAAGGTGCACAGAAGCAGTTTTATCAAGGGACACAGGAGCCAAGAGAAGTGAGTGTTCAAGTACCCCCTTCAAAATTAGAGTTCACAAGCTGTAGGTCTTGATCTGCAGTTTTGCAGAAATTCACTTTGAACAGATGAAAGTAAAATAAAGGCATGTTAAATAAAACAGTGCCCAGTAAAACTTTCCGCCATTTCTTTGTCAGATTTGCCTTGAGCAGCTAAAAAAATAAAACAAACACCACGCTTTTCCATGCTGATAACAGTAGAATGAAGTCCAAAACAAGCTGCAATGCTGTTGGTTTTCAAAAAGCTTTTAGAACTGGAGATGAGCAGTCCACTGTAACACTATGTTTGGGTCAAGATGATGTAGCTTTTACAATTCATCCCTGTAGAAAGAAAACACATGCAGTTATGTTTCTCCTCCCTTTGGAAATCATATTTGAAAAGTTCTGATACTGAATCAGGTCACATTTAAGTGCTCATGCACATCAGCAAAACTTCAGAAATCTCTTCAAGCATTCAAAAGAAAAAAGTAAACAAGAACAACTCAAAACCCAAAGGAAAGGCAACAGCAATCCCATATCATCTCGTACTGTTACATGATGTATCGTGAAATACGGGTCCCTTTATTTTACACTGAATGGACCCTTTGCTTTGATGAACGTTCCCCACACCACACAGCTATTTACACAACTACCTGTCATCCACACTGTTGGCTCCATGCTGACAAGAAACTGAGCCAACTTACTAGTCAGAGTATTGGCAAAAAACATTATCTGCAGCTGCCAAAAAGAGAACTTTTGCTTCAGCTGCAGTCTCTCAAGAAAGCTAGGAACGCAATCTCACATCAACATTGTGCAGTTTGTACCACCTACATCATTTATTTCACAAAGGAGCTTGAATAGCTCCCAATGGAGCTACTCTAAATCAGGAGTAGGTTATGGAAAGGGTGGAGGCAGCAGGTGCATGTGTTAAAGGAGATGCGGGTAGAGAAAGGATGCATCAAGAAGTCTCTCTAAATCATGAGGAATCTACAAAAAGCAGGGACACGTAAAACACACTGAAATAGGAAACCCATATTCCAAAAGTGAAATTATCATATATTTCTAAAGGATGGAGTTTAATGCAAAATGTTCATAGAATCTGAAAGCTGTGCACTGGGCCATTATGAATGTTCGAAAACTCAGAAGTGTTTGCTTCCCTCCCCCCCCCCCCCTTTTGCAAGGAACAAGTGATCTATAAACCCCCAATGAGTTTGCTGCGATTTTTCTTCTAATAGGTACATTACCCTCATTAGCCAAAGCAGTGTCTGAATTAGGAAAAACTTCATTAATGTGATTGCTGGCTCAATAACCATAGTATTTTCAGCTGTCATGCAAACTAACCCACAAGAATATAGTGCTACATGCACACAGGCAAAAGCTTTAAAGTTACAAAGGCATTATCCTTCAGGAATCATATAGCATGGAACGACAGCATGCAAAACACTTTAGAAGCAACTGAAAAGGCTGCTGCAACTAGTGCTTAAATGACTAGCTCTCTATCAATGCAGCTGGGAGGCAAACCTTGTGATTTGTTAGTGATAAATATTTGCATTCTTTGCACTTTGCACTGCCTTCTAATAGGGACGTACTATTCACACAGCTTCAGACTGTTCCAGTAATTACAGAAAGCAGAGACAAAGCAGAAGAGGGAAGAACACATCTTGGCAGGGGTAAATAAAAATCTGTTTATAACCAAAGGTTTGGAATCTCTCCATATCTGCCTATTTCACAGAATGGGTATTTGCTTACTTTAAACAGATAAAAATAAATTAACATTTGATACTCAGTTTAAAATGCATTGCCAGTGAAATGAGGACAAGTACTTCATTCATCCTTAATGCTTTCAGGAGCTGCACCATCAGTTAAATATTTACAACTTCAAAAAGCATGTGTAAGTAATGACTGCTACTATGGCTGGTTTATTCTCAGATGCCTAATTGCTGATGTGATTTGCATCCTGACTCCCATCATATACCCTCATAGCTTTGTAAAAGCCTGACCTTTTACTGTGACAAATAATTCTTAAGCCTTTAAGCCCAAGCTAGATCCTCAACAAATTGTAAGCCCAAGAAAAAGACCATATTTACTCTGAAACTATTAAACATGATAATTTTACCTATTCACAGGCACTGGTAATGTTTTTGCATAATACTGCTAATGCACTTCATGACTTTGAAGTGTTTTTTTTTCTTTTACAAAATTGTATGTAGAATTTTACAAAATTTGTACGTAGAATTCAAATAAGCGATACCAACAGGCGAATGTTTTAATTGTTGGTAGCTCGCATTGCTTTAAGCTATTCCTGACAACATAATAATGTTCCTGTAAGTTATGTATATCCTAGATACCACTTGCAAAATAAAGGTTTTCATATTCTTATTAGAACATTTACTGTATTCAGGGGATCAGCTTCCCTCAAGAGATTTTTCACATGCTTTTCACTACTCATTAATCTAAAAACAGCACACCAGCCCAAAACAAACCAGGATGTAGGTGTTAAAATCACACAGCATTTATTTTCTACTGTTATGAGACGCTGAGCTTATATCTGCACTACTGGACTGTATATATTAGAAAACACAGAAAAGTCTTGGATCATCAGGCAGGTAACATTTTTCAGCTTTCCACCTAATGTGAACAGCTTACAGACTTAAATACATATTGCAAAGCAGTTGATTTGAACTTCAGCTATATGGATCAGAAGCTACCAAGCTATGAAATCTACCAGGTTACAATCACTGGTAAAAAACAATATAACTTGCCTCTCCTCCCAGCAGTAAAAGATCTGTCCTGACACAAAACTTAGAAGGAGACTCACAAGACAGCTATTTCCCTGTTAATAATATTCTGCTGTCCCCTACAGCCATAGCAAAGACAGACTGCTTTTTATCTTTCTGCCTTTCTCCGGACACAGCTATTTGCTGTGATTCTTACACAGCTCACTTAATTTCCTTCCACCTTCATATATGTACTCCTTCCAATCTGCTTACTAGCTTCTGCTTACTAAGCAATACATATACTTAGGTGTTAAGTCATCACAATAGACCTTCTCAGGTCCCTAGAATTCTAACAAGAGAATCACTTATCTAATATTGTCAATTGAGGCATCAAAGCAATTTTATAAGCTCAAGTTAAAGCAAATTTCAGAAGTCATTTGCTCAAACTTACTATTCTAAAAATAAATTTAAGAAACTTTGAAAAACATCTGCTTACTGATAGGGAAAACATACACAAATATTCCACATATCCTATTGGGAGTATCCAACAATAAACTAAGAAGCATTCTCAAAAAAATCTAATAGGGAGAGTTTCAGATAAATAAACCCCCCCATAAAACACAAAAGAATCACAACCCTTAGCAACAATAAAAAATAACAGAAGTCTGGGATACACGTAAGTCATGCAGTTTTGTGATCTGTCTCTTCCACTCTGGTGGAGAGCATTCAAATTAAATAGTTGAACAAGCATTTATAAATTTATCTGAAATCTGTAACTCACTCTTTTTTATCCACTTCAATTTTCTTGTCATTAGGCAGCATTTGACTTTCCCTTTTGGATACATCACTCATCTATGAAAAATATGCTGCCATTACTGATACTGTATTTCTAATTCATGAGGCTACACTCCATTTCAGGAGCTATTCAGTGTTTCAGCAGCTGATTTTTTTCTCCCTTTGTGATTTTAAAGGTAACTAAATGCAATATTTAGACTTGTAGCATTTTAATCTGAAAAAGTGCTGTTATAAAGTATTTATTATTTGCTATGATCAATCATCAAATTGAGAGAGTAGGTTGAAATGACAAAAGAAAAGGAATCTTCTCTGCAACCTATTCTGTCAGTTACATCACGTGCATTTGTACATTATACATAAACTCTAAATTTAACCCCAAATATTATTGTGCAGAGATTCTTTTTGCCAAAGTAAAATAAAAGCTTTAATCATAATCATTACTCTAAGGAATTTGAGGCAAACGATTCTTGCTAATTTTAATTGAAATTAGACAACTACCTCATTAGCAATGTTCAAAACACAGAGTAAGTTTCTAAGCAGAAATGTATTTAAATATTTCTTAATAGATAGTTTTTCCAAAAGGGTGCTTAAACATGTTGTATGTATAGATAAGCAGGATACAGTAACAGCCCCAGTCTAGTCTCTGCAGTTTTTGCTGAAAGGTTAATACTGATATTTTTATTTTATCAGCAAATACGAATTTAACATGACATCTACAAATAATTCCTACTAATGCAATATTCTAAGTTTAAAAAAGTAGTCTGATAACATTTTTAAACAGCTGTTTGAAAAAATCATCAAGAATTGCAACACAGACTCATTGCTAAGTGTTCCTTATGCTGTTACTCTCTTATTTCTCTTTGTATCAGAAATAGCATAGCCAACAGGGCCAGGGCAGTGATCACTCTGCCTGTACTCAGCACTGGTGAGGCCACACCTCAAATCATATGTTCAGTTCTGGGCCCCTCACTACAAGAAAGACATTGAGGTGCTGGAGCAAGTCCAGAAAAGGGCAATGAAGCTGGTGAAGGGTCTGGAGCACAAGTCTGATACAGAGCAGCTGAGGGAACTGGGATTGTTTAGTCTGGAGAGAAGGAAGTTCAGGGGAGAACTCATCACCCTCTACAGCTACCTCAAAGGAGGTTGTAGTGAGGTGGGTGTTGGTCTCTTCTCTCAAGTAACAAGTGGCAATCACCTCAAGCTGTGCCAGGAGAGGTTTAGATCTGATATGATGAAAAATGTCTTCATTGAAAGGACTGTCAAGCACTGAACAGGCTGCCCAGGGAAGTGCTTGAGTCACCATCGCTGGAGGTATGTGAAAAGAGATGTGTAAGTGTGGTGCTTAGGAACACAGTTTAGTGGTGGACCCGTCCATGCTGGGTTAATGGTTGGAACTGATGATCTTGAAGGTCTTTTCCAATCTAAATAATTCTATGATTCTTTAAATCATCTTTCCATATAAGTAGTAAGTGAACTCTCTGAGAAGGAGAACCAGAGAGATGTCAATTCACACAAGAACTACCAATAAGGTAGCCAGTAAGTTGTCTTCTCAACTGTGCAGCACAAAAGGTCTTATCTCCTCCCTACTTACCAGCAAGGAAAAAAATAAATATTGGGAAGTTTTATGCGAAAGTATAAACATGTGTACCAGCATAATCACATGAGTAGGATCTACCTACTGCTGGATCTCTGGTATATTAATGCACTTAATTTTGTATCAGATAGGGTTCCTTTGTATATTCTACTTCCAAATGTCCCATGAAGTCACATTTGAGAAGATTGACACTAATATTTCTACAGCTGAACCCAAGCTAGAAAGTTACTGAATTTCTTTTAGTCCACAATATTTACAAAATGAGATTCTTTATTTAACACCACATCAATTTATTGAAATCCAAGGAGTCTTTTCTTTCCAGCTAGTCCTGATTTTCTTTTACTCAAAGTTCCAGTTTTATATAGTGATGAATGACACAAAACATCTGAAGGTAGGTTTGACCTCAAACACCACCTGGAGATCAAGTCACTGCTGCGCTCATTTGTAAAGAGCGCCTTGCAGCCCAGTAAGGAAGGGTACCAACTTCTCCAATATGTGAATGGCTAAGCAAAAATTTAAGCACCTTCTTTCTTGCCAACTGGAAGGTCTGCTAGCCTAGGAAAATACTGCTGGCCTCTTGACTGTATTTTGTGAAGGGACACCAATATTTCACATCATGAAAGTTACCTGCATTAGGAAAATACCTCTTTCATCTTTGATGCTAGCATAGATAAGAACTGTTGACTTATGATTAGGACTTTCCTTAGCAACAGCTGGTTGACCATACACTTTGGACTCACCAATAGGGGAAAACAACAAAGACAGATGCGAACTCCTGTAAGGTCAGCAGTGAGGGCAGCTATTCTTGAGAAGGAAATGGGATTTTTGTCAGATCACAAAAAGAACAATTAAAGAAGAAATAAACATTACAAGAAGTGGACTTCTGAGATTTCCTTTAACAGAGATTTCCAAGTCAGAACCAAATTTAAACATACATAGGAAGAAACAGCCTCTGTGTCACTGCAGTGATCAAGGTCACTTTTCAGGCTAAGCACTTCTGATAACATCAGTGTATATTCTTAACATTTAAATTAAAAATAAAAACCTAGAAGCATTTCAGAAAACAAGAGAAACTGGTAAGAAAATCTGCAGAAAAGAACCCTACAATACTCCTGACTGAAGAAGGCTCAAAGATAATGTATTACTTCTTCCTGAGCTAGCAGAGAAAAGAGTACAAAATCGCACAGAATAGATGCAAAGACCTTAGAATTCTAGTCCCTAATACACTACACCACCTTCAGCAGCAGCAAATGATAACCACTGTCACTCCAGAAACTCTTCTTATAAATTGTGTTTATTGAACACACATTGCTGCTACGAAAAAAAAAAAACAACCTCAAACAACAAAACCAAAACAATTGCTATTATAATCAGATCAGGCGCAAATTCAGAAAAAAGTTCTGTAAACCTCTCTGGACAAAGAAAGGCTTGAGAAGAACACTTCTCTTTTCTAGAGTAAGCCGAACACATGGGATCCAAACTTGAATAAAGTCCACTAAATTTTCAAGAGGAGGAAACTAACCACAATGCAAAACTTCCAAAGCCTTACAAGAGGCAGGAAACCCCCGAGTACCACCCTGAGGCAATACTGGTAATATTCGAGGACAAAATATTCACTTGCATAACAAATACAAAACATCTGAATAACGAGCATGCTTCACAAGCTTTGAAACTAAGCAGGAACTCATTGAAGTCGTTCTAAGAGTAGTTTGTACATGGTGGCTATACAGTAATCCAAAAAACACTGAAATGATGTTTCAGTAAGCAGCAGTAGTGTAAACTGCTTTGGTTGTACTTTGAATGAACATTTGGATAGCTTAAACTCTAAGTGTTCACATATCAGAACCAGAAGCTGTACTGCAGAATATCAAGTGGGGAAAAAAAACACCAAAAAAACCCCAAAACAAAACAACACAACAAAGAAATAAACCAAAACCAAAATCTAAATATAGGAGTTGTAAAGCTCAAGAGCTGTTTTCAGAACTCAGTACACATCTAGGCACTTCATTTACACAGATAATACATTCATAAGGTCTTTCTGACAGGAAGCAAAACAGGACTGCTGCTTTGTTCATTTGCATACTAATGCCTAGTATGGTTTAAGCTGACAGCTGTGTTATATCTATGTTATTGGACATTCAATTCAGCAAACTGGGAGGGTTACTACCCCTAGAAAGGCCTTTGGAGTTTGCTGTGTTGGCAAACACAAATATATCCCCATCAGAGACAATGACAGACTTTTAATAACATGTCCAAGAAAAACTTCCAAACACTACTCAACTATATACTCTAGGGGAAAAGGGTTTACCTTCTCCGCTTTCTGCTACTTGGGGCTGAGGGAAAAGTGCTTGCAAGATTATCTGTATTTCTCACAAAAGTCTTTACAAAGATTTTTCTTCATTTTTGACATTTCAGAAAAATAAAATTAAAAAAAAAAAGACACCCAATTACCACTAACTTACAGGAAAAAAACAATATTTATTCTGAAGTAGTATTTTACACTTTACCCTGATTACTGGGCAAACTCCTTATAAAAAGTTTATTAAAGGGAAGTTTCATTAAAAAAAAAAAACAACCCTCTGTTGAAAACAACAAATAAACTTCAACACACCAAAGACTAAATAAAATATGTCTGAAAGAGACAAAGTGCAACACATGCAATATTTTTCTTCTGCTTTTAAATTAACTCAAACTTAGCATAACCTCCTTTTGGTGACGTAGTAATGCAGACTGAGTCACTTATGGCATGGAGCAGAAAGCAATGACAGCAGCAAAGGCAGGCCTTGCAGTCTATCTGCTTAAAATTCACACCCTTTCACCTTGTGTGTGTGTGGAAGAAGTAAGTGGAACAGAAAATCACTTCCACCTGGACCACTGCTTCTCTTTATCTGTTAAAGGCACATATATCACTCCCATCAGAGGCTTCATTTTGACACTGCCATCTTCTAGTTTGTCATACTGTTCGAGCATCTGGTTTCCCCCTGCAGGGCCAACTGGCAATATCAATCTTCCGCCAGGTTTTAACTGATCTATAAGCTAGAACACAACACAGAAATTAGAATGTAACCAGCCACTTCAGAGAAGCTGAATTCAAAGTTTGTTACATTAACAGCTTTCCACCATTCATCTATCTACTATTATGCAGGATATAATTATTTCAATTAGGAAAAATAAAACCATGCTCTAGAAATGAGAGTACCTCAACAACATAATACAACAACTGGTATTACAGAAACACAGTAATTTCATGTAATTACAAAAGAAGGTAAAATAGTAATTAGACTGAGTTGGTTGCAGTTTTAGTTTCTGTGTAAGAGGGGAAAAATATGCAAATCCTGAATTATTTTTACAATAGATTCAATTTTTTTTAACTGCTAGTTTTAACTGTTTGATATTTATTGTGCATCAGTACAGGCCCACTGCCCAGCACTTCTGGGGTAACTGAACCCCAACTTGATCCTTGAACCTTCAGAATAAGATTTGAGATTTGTGACTTGTTTCTAAATTTATCTTCCTGGAATAATCTTAAGTTCTTTACAATACACTCACTACCCAACAGCTCCTCTTTCATTCTGTGAATGAAAGAGATCTTACAAAACTAGTCTAAAATATATGAATGTGAGTAAGACAAGTAACAAGTAAGAAAGTATGTGAGAAAAATGCATGGATTAGACTTGCTTTCATAATTACATGAGGCAGCTGATCGCAGTAGTCTCAAGGAAAATTCAGTACTTCCCAGACACCATGGAAAAAAAAACCAATCTTAAGCCCTGTTACTAACAAAAGCTATAATTAAGAACTGTTTCATTCACTACTAAACTTTACATTACCTTTTTAATTGTCACCTGTCAATACTTTGCTGGAAACACCACACCCCCACATATCCCAAAAGAAGAAAACCAAACCAACTGTCAGTGTCTGAAACTGTCTAACCTGTCTAGAGCACCTCGAACCTCCAGTCCTTCACTATCCCTTTAAAAATTCAGATTTAAGAAAAACTTTACTGGTATCTAGCATACTATAATCATGGTACATATTCCCATTCACTTGATAAAAGGAAGAGAAAAAAAAAAAGTCTTCAAGAATGGACTTCAAGTATGCACACTCTGAAGTCCCTAGTTACTCTGGTTTCTTTAGGAAGAACTGGCCTGTAACCACTCAGAAGCTATGAACGCATGGCATCATCTGTATTTCCAGCTGAGCATGTTACTTTTCCAACAGGCTCGATACCTTGGAACTCAGGAAACAAATACTTAAATTACGTAATTCAGTGTTTGATACAAATTATTTTTTTAAATAAAATGTTCCAGTTCATTGTTGTAATAGAGTTGTGCACAAGTAATTTAAAAATCTTTATTTAGAGGAGAATTATTAGAACACACAGCTTTTGCAAACCAACAGGAAGCCAAATTGTAACAGAAACAAAAACCCCCACACCATACAGTAATTCCACACTGCCCACTGAAGCTCCCAGCAGTGTAAGTCTACCAAGTATTTTACATGTATACACGTATACATTATACATGTATACACACGTAAAACAGTCTTTACAGCTAAGAGAAATACAAAACATAAAAAGCTTACTGCTTGGGGCACAACGGGTGCTGCTGCTCCTACATGAATTGCATCATAGGGAGCTTCTTCTGCATATCCCATTCTTCCATCTCCCACTGCAAAAGAATAGTTTTTTAACATTTTCAAAAGGAGTGGAGAAAACAGCTAACCTCCCATACCTATAAGGCAGATAAAATCTATGCTCAGATTTCAACTAAAATTCTGCTGAGCAGTAATAATAAGTCAGTTTAAAAACATTAACACAATTGCAAAATAGATGCAGCAAAACACCCTCATACATACATACATACACTTATAAAAAATATAAAATACTACGGAAATGCCTGAAATTAGAATGCATAGATTTGTAACAAAAGTTCTTGGAAATATGTGGTCCACCCAGAAAAGATACTTAAGCATTTATATGCCCTACCATTCCAATACAGGCAGCTTTTGCCCTCACTTACCCTCTTGGACATATGCTTTGCTTTGCATTGCCTTCATGCACAACATTCTTAAATACAAGGCAATTAAATCTCATCAGCACACATCAGAAGACTCCAAAGGTGAGGAAAAGACAAAGCAAGTATTCACATAGGCTATACACCTATAACTGCACTACTAGTTAGAATGAAAATATATACATACTTCATAAATTAATGCAGTAACACACTAATCCCCATGCATCCCCCTTTGTCAGCAGATGGGTCTCACTACCCTTCCTGGACAAACATGGATAGCCACATCAGACACTCATCAGATCATGCTCCAGGTGGCTGCTTGGAAGTTATTAGGAGTAATTAAGTTATTCAGAGGGCAACCGATGCTGCTTCAAGAAGCTCCCTATTACAGATGTCTCATACCATTGCAGTTATGCAGGATGAAAGGGGAACAGATTGGTTTTTTTAAGCCATTAAAATGTAGCAAGCTAAACTAGACCCCAAGTGAAGCTTTGAAAGATGATAAATACTGTGAATGCCACATTCACATTACAGGAAACCAACAGGAAATTCAGAGCATGTTAGGCAAGCTCTCTCTGGAGATACTTAGGAGCAAAAGAAGTGAGGCTAAACCATTCATAAATTCATACTCAGTGAGTGCTGAAGTCCCACTAATCAGCTAAGATGAAAAAGCAATGAAGCTAACGAACACAGTCCTCTTGCGCAGCACAAACAGTTGTTTGGGGTTTCCTGTCTTCAGACTGAACTTCGACTTCCATGCAATCACTATTATCAGAGCATAATCAAAAGGCTGAAGGAGTCAACAGAAGTTCTAAGACCCTGCCAGAGGCTGAAAATTTGTCAACTTCTTGCCTTCCAACAACTCAGAAAGCAGGAAAAATATATGGTGGCCATATCAGGTTTCATTTTGATCACAGTGCTAGAGGGCCACCTGAACACTCAAAGCACCCTCAAGTATCCAAGAGTGTTCAGGAAGCTCTGGACAGCTCCTTTGAACAATCAGAATTGAGAAGTTTGACACCTTTCATATCAGATTCTGAAACAAGACCCTTCAAAGACCTCCTACACCCAAAGCTTAAGGATACAGCACATTTTCTCAGTAGCTGAGAAGCCCCTTAAAAACTCAGTGACATATTTCCTCACATCATCACTTCTGATCAGCACAAGTTTGGACCAAGGGCCACAGGCAGAAGCTGCCAAGCAAGAACTACCAGTGTTTCAAGAGAACTCATGACTATTGATCACCAGTTCCACTACGTCAACTTTTATTACTGTTGACAGTAGTGAAAGTTCCAGTATTTGCAGGGCTTCATCTCTGACTCTGCCAAAGTGGATTCAACTGGAACAACCACCTTAATGCAGTCAAGTATACAATTTATATTTGCTTATGTCTTAGTGGCACTGTTGTCCTGGTTTCAGCTGGAACAGAGTTAATTTTCTTCCCAGTATCTGGTGCAGAGCTGTGTTTGAGCTTTAGTCTGAGAACAATGCTGATAACACACCAATGTTTTAGTTGTTGCCAAGTAATGCTTACTCTGATCAAGGACTTTTCAGTCTCATGCTTTGCCAGCAAGGAGGGGCACAAGAAGCCGGGAAGGAGCAGGGACAGGATACCTGACCCGAACTAGCCAAATGAGTATTTCAAAAGGTTGGTGAGCAAGCAGCTGCATGGTACTTAGTTGCCAGCTGGGTTTAAACCAGGACAATTGTACACCTCCTCTAAAGAGGAAGAAGTGGTTTGTTACTGTATCAACTGCTGTCCATCCCAGAAGGCAATGGGAAAAGACTTCTTTAGCTCAGCCGCACAGATACTGCTTTGAATTGGTAGTTACACAAGGAGACAGACTCTCACTCCCTAACCTGCAGCAGCAGGCATTAGAAGTAGCAATCTCCAGTATGAATCTGTTGACAAAAGAGATTGTTAAATTGTGAAAGAAACTGCTAAGCTGAAAAAGAACACTTGTATTCTGCAACTCAAACACACCTTGTGTGCTGCCCAGGGAAGTCTCCATGTGACTTGCGCACATTTTATCACTTTACTAACAGTGGTAAAAAGGACCCAAAACATTTAAAACCCTTTACTCTTAGAATCAATAGTCCAAACCCTACCATCTTCAGAATCAGCACAAATACCACCAACAACAAATTCATGCTTCTTTGTATGCACCATGCACAGCATGCTCTTCACTTTTAACATCAACAAAAATTTCCAGACTACACTAGTCAGGTAGATATCCACTCACAATGGGAACACATTTTTAGATATCCATAAGATTTTATTTCTTTTCTTAATTAAAAAAAATAAAAAAGTTGGCATTTATATATTCAATGTGATACAAACTATTGTATTATTCAATGTCCAAAGGGAAACAGCAGCCTAAATTTTGAGCTTGTGCTTGCATCTTAAGTAACATCCCCTGTTCTACTTAGATCTCTAGTTATATGCCACCTGTTAATGAAGTAATCACAGTGGTGGGTAATGGGTGGTGATGAGGAGGGAAGTAATGTCAGGACAGGACTTTATGACATAAAAGGGTTCTGTAGCTTGGTTTTGAACCTAGACCTGATCTTCTGATAGTGTTACTCAAGCCTTCAGTGTCTCTATGTGGACTTGTTTTGCATGGAGTTGTATCACGAGCACAGAAACAGAAGAAAACTACTTCACTGTGGTTATAATACCCTCATCCCCTCTGGCTATGTCTGCATCAGCAAACAGTGCAATACAATAGAAGCAGATCTGTCCAGAAAAACAGCTTTTGCTGAGAACCTGATGTCCATGCAACATCAGCATTTCAGAATGACTGACTGCTCTGGTCTAGTTCTAGTCTTACTTGCTTAATATCCATTAACAAATCAAACTTATTTGGTTGCTTTTCAGAGGACATAATCCAGGCTAGTTTCATCCTGAAGAAATCAGAGTTTGTGCTCTCCAAGAGTACTCGCCTGTAAGTCAAAGTGTGGTGAGCGAAAGCAATTGAGATTCACCTCAAAGGCACCCTTCTCATTTTAAGAGGAAAAAAAAACCCACCAAAACAAAACAAAAACAAACCACACACCAAAAACAGCAAAACACCCCAGAAACTAATACAGATATACCCAAAGTTACTTATTCCAAGTTCTCAGTGCTGTTCTATTACTGAGGTACCCAAAAATAATATTGTTGCTTCTGGAATGCAGTTACAGTTTATGAGAGGTGTGGCAAAGCAATGGAGAGTGCCTGAAACATGCTTGTGGAAAGCCAGCAACTGACATACCTCCCATCACCAATTAACCCTGGGGATTTAGTTTTTCTTCTGTGTGTTGGGGAAGGTGGTGTTGTTTTAAAAAACAGCTCTGGATTCTAGCTCCACACCAAACTACTTTCAGAAATTAAGAGCATCAAGGTTTGTTGTAGGTATGATCAGAAGCATAAGTCCAAATTTCTCTTGTACAGCAACAATGAAAATTATCCCCCTATTTCCCCTCTCCAGCGCAACAGACTCAGGATAATTTCTTTTCCAAGAAAGTTAAAGGCATAAAGTGTTCTTAGTGAGGGGCACTGCATTTTTTTTTTTTTTTTTTTTTTTTTTTACACATGTAGACTGCCTTATTTTGAAAAAAAATAATAAAAAACTTATTCAGAAAAGTCCCTCATTTACAAAAAAAAAAATTACCAAGAAGCAGAAGGTAATTAAGGTAAGAGCCAAAGACCACAATCATTATTTTTCCAAACACTCTTGTAAGAAACCTCAAAAATACTCCAATCTTTAACTTCTTTTTTAAATTTAAAGAAAAAGAATGATAATGAAGGGAATGCTTTCCTCCTGCCAGCTTTGTATCTTTCTTTTCTTTAAAGAAAACCAAACAAAAAACCAAAAACAACAAAAAACCACAAACCCACCCTTTTGTCAAAATAAGTATTATTTAAAACAATTCACTGTATAATTTTAGAGTTACTGAGAGGAAATAATGCTATCTGAATTACAGTAGTTTGGTGTCATTTAATCACTTCCCTAACATGCAAATACCATTAATTTTAAAAAGAAGTGAAAAACTTCAGTGATGCATACTGCCAATTTGGTACTTTTTCCACTCTGTGCGCAGCTTTCTCCATTACTCTATCAGAAGTATACAGGTTTTGTTAAACCAGGCAAATATAGATGACAGTACATTTATTCAAGCAAAGTTGTGAATTCAAACCCAATTTTAAATAGCAAATTCACACGACAGACCTTCCGCAGGTGAAGTAGAAAGCACTTCCCTGATAAGCTTCTCTAGTAGTATTCTTTAAGATTATCAGAAGTCATATTCTCAAAACTGTGCAAAGATTGTATTTTTCAAAGGCCTTAAGATGATTTGAATTTAAAATATTCATTTGGCTTTTCTTTCTTTGGCTTAACTTCTTCAAATGGAATTTTTAATCACCTCCAATTCTAGTCATTTTCAACCAGCTGCTAGAAAGAATATCAGTTTAATTAGTAAGTATATCAGTCTGATGCTCACCAATCAGTTTCACTCTTCCTGAAGACAGCAATGTGGGATCATCTTTTTTGACATTATTTATTGAGTCATCTACTAGTTCTTTGATATGATCAATTCCTACAACTTGTCCTTTGGGACCCACCTGGAATAAAAATATACAGTTGAATAATTTCTGCTAGATTTGTTTACAGAATGAGTATTTCTATCACCTGAGCCCATTTCTCTAAAGTAAAAACAAAACCAGTAAAGTGGTAAGTATATTTTCCCCAACGTTACTGAAACTACTGCTTGGAATGACACACCCTGACTGCTAGAAGCAACTGGTAATTAGAATTTGCCAGTACAGTCTTATAAATGCTTGTTATAGTCATATTTTTTTTGAGACATAATTCAATTAAGTTGTATTATTAGTGGAGATCTCGTCTTTGAATTTTTAGAAGTCAGATTTGATCATGAGTGTTTGCACTACCTGCAACAGAAAGTAATAACTTCAAGGACAAAGACTAGAATTAATCTTCTTCCATGTTGAATAAACATACTTAAAGATTAAGGTTTTTTAGAGAAGACCTTACTTCAAGGAAAATAGAAAGTCATGCATCTTTTTCTAAGTTCTTAAGAGTCCTATTCTTTCAGGAACAAATGCACTAATTAATAGTCAGGGACAAATTACCTTCCACCTACCATTGCATTCATTAATCTACTTTGAGATTTACAGCTCTCTTCCACAGGAAGAATGGAACTTTTGAGAGCTCGTAACTCACAGAAGGTCATGAAAGATCTGTGTAGTCAGTCTGAGGGGAAAAAAAGGTCTACTAGCAAAACTTCTCCACTACAGGCATTTCTTCTGGAATTGTGCCTTCATTCTAGAAAAAAATCCAATTTCGGGGAGAGGAGAAACAATCCAAATCTTAAAATCTGATCATTTTTAACAGGATCCAGCTCAAATAACACAATGGCAGAGTATGTCCTAGCAGCCCATGTTGTCATATAAAACTTTGTCTTTGGTCATATTTGAACCCATTGGTATCTTATATTTATATGTTGCCAAGACATGGAAAATTAATAACTGGTTATTGACACCATGGGGATTTTTCTGTTTCATTATGAAAAAGTGCTATGGTAGGGTAAAAATAAAAATTAAAAAAAGAAAAAAAAAAATGGAGAGAGAGCATTGTTAGCTTTTTTTTCAAGTAGAAGCCCACGAGCCTAGCCTTTGAAACAGAGCAAGACACGTGGCAAGTTTTTACCATGACAACTACAAGTTGCCATCTGGAGGAATGCCTGGCAGTCAGCTGTACCAGAAGCTGGCAAAAGATCCAGTGTAGTCCAACAAAACGTAACATCACAGAAATTCCAATTTAGCAAGATAGCAATAGCATGAGAACCTCCTGCTGCATGTCAGAGTCCAGCAAGATATTTCTAAATCCTCAGTTAGTTACCTCTGTCTATTGCCTGGAACCTTGAAATGTGTGCAGTTGAAACAATAGCAAAATGGCACAATTTTGGGGATCTCCATGGTTTGTTAAAATTAAATATATACCCCACTTTTTATAATTCCAGTACTTACAGGATGAAAACTACAATTACTTTAATTTGCCAGCAACCTTTAAAAGCATATAAACTTAAAATTGCATGCTGTGTAGTTAAGTTTATCACAGCAGTTCAACATCAAAACCCAAACAAAAAAATCTTAAAGATGCTTTACTAGCTTAAGTAAACAAAGCTTCCCCAAGACTACCACCAATGAGATTATCATCACAGGAGCAAAGCTGTTATGACATCAATGTGCATTTAGGTACTTGTGCTACAAATACAAGCTTTTCATTGAGATCTCAAGTAGACAGAGAAGCAACATCCACATGATCCAGTAAGCACATACCCGATTGAATTTTGATAGAAAAACACTTTACCATCATTCCCTATAATATACATCTTTCAAACTTTTGTTACAGTTTAAAAGAACTTTACAGAAGAAGTCACAGCAGTACATCCTGTCTTATCTATATTCATTCAAGTGGATGAAGCAAGACCCATACTGCATAGTACTGCTATCAAACAGAGCAAAGGCATTTATCCAGTTTCACAAAACACATGCTCATAAGGCTTTCCACAGCATACCACCAAGAATTCAGAAGAGGAACATGACATTCATATGGCAGTAGAAGAATAGCATGATTAAAGTCAACAAAATTGGGAAGCAATTTCCTTTTTATGGTAATTCTGACTTCTTGCCATGTTTTCAGCTTTTCTTATGTAGCTGCTTTAAAAGAAGAAAGTGCACACCACAACTTATCATGTCTGATCAAAAATGGCTATTTCTCCATGAGTAACTGTAGCGAGAAATACACCTAACCATGACAAAAAGTTTTAACACTTGCAAGATTGGAGCTCCCATGCATACTACTGGCACTTGATTGTTTACTACAAAGTTACAAGAAAAACGATAGGCACAGAGTTAAATAAGTGACATTTAAGATTTCCTCTAAATTGCAGCTTGATTAACTTACTTCAACTAGAAATTTTTTTTTTTTTAGATTTTTCAGCTAGCACTTAAAAAATTTAAATACTTTTGCTAGTTCGTTGTCCAGTCCTTTACAAAAGAAACCAGAACTCAACAGATCAGCTGCTTGAAAACAGAAAACTAAGTAGCAAAAAAACCCATATGTGAATTTATCGTCTCATCACCACGTTCTAAATTAACTTCTCAGAAAGATAAAAAAGAAAAAAAATTATCTAGTTGGCAGTTTAATAAAGGTGTCTGCTAGTTATAAAGCAATGAGAGAGGCCTAGAATGGAGAAGGAAGAACTGATTATATTCTACTACATAAATTAGTCTAACAGTACTGTAGTTATAGCCATCGCAATATTTTTCACCTCTTTTCCTGATGCAACATAGGGTGGAACCACAGAGAATTCCTTATATACAGATGGAACAACCCAGAGATTAAGTTTCTTGTAGAAGATGTTAAAAAAAAAACAAACAAAACAAAACCAACCAAACAAATTAATATCCAACTTAGAACAAATTAAACGGATAATTATAGTGATGCTCACACAATACAGAAAGGAGAAAAAAAAAAAGTTAAATTCAGAGACAATTTATATACATACAATATACTTTCCTGTAGAAATAGGATTCTTTTAAGTCTCACTAAGCTCTCATCATAGCAGGAAGACATGACAACTGATTACAATAAGAACATTCATGGCACACAAGATAATGTAAAAATTGAGCTGGACAAGCGAAATATCACCTTCCTTCAAGATATAAAGCAATCACTAAACTACAAGAAAGAAATAAACCCGTCCCCTCTAAGCAGTTTCTTCACCATCACATGATTTACCAGACCTTTAACTCAACCATCTAGTATCAGCTAGGCTAAGAAATGGGTACTAATCACATCCAAAAGAGTAAATTATCTTCTGCATAACATGCATCAGTCCACTGTACAAAGGATGCTTTCTTCCCCTCCCCTTCAATCAGAGTTACGCTGCAGTTCAAGCAGTTCTGATGGTTCAGTGATTAAACTAAATATCTCACCATTCGTGAGAAGCATGCTGTAAGGATTCCACTTCCAGATCCTACATCAAGTGCTTTGGCTCCTTCATGTAACTGATCAGACAGAAGTTCAAGAGCATATGCATGCTAAGAGAAGAAAGAGGCAGAAAATGTCAATATATTTCAAGTATCTATTTTACCCAATAGATGTTCATTTCTTCAGTGACTTGGACCAATGCACTGAGGATTCATGCAAGATATTTCAGAATTATTTTCTATTACAAAAAAAGTGGAGGGTGGAGGGAGTTAACTATATGATATAATCACTATTATTTCATTGACTTCAAATTGTGCATGTATGTATATTTAAACTACCTCTTGTATTACCTGCATACTTGCTGAATCAAACAGTAGGAAAAAGTTATTTACAACAGCAGATAGCCAGGCTCTTACATGAAATGCAGTAGTTTACAGACATACTTCATGAGTTTTGCTTTCCTACAAGGTGGACCACTACACAAACTAAGCTTAGGTCACACACTCAAACACCAATTTGTTCTTTAGTGTTTCAGAGATAGCCATAATCACACTCTTACAGCTTAATCCATCACACCCAGAAAACAAGTAATTAGAACATTTATTGCTAGAACATTTATTGTCAACATTTGCTTAGAGGATACATTTCCTTTTTGCTCTAACACTTCATATACTACTAGTGCTAAGCAAAGGAGAATTCAAAGGCTATGACTTAGATGAATTAAAATTCTGAAAACATAATTAATACTTATTTTATCCCTTAGCCACAGTACCTTCTTTCTCTGTCTTTCCTTGACTAAAATCCTAACATTTCTATACAAAATTCCTGATTTTTTTTATATTGGTAACTAAGTAAATTCTAACCCAACTAGGTAGTTTTCGTCAAGTGAAGCAGACTTTTACTTTGTCACTTTCCAAACACTGCAAGGACAAAAAGCATACCATAGAATCATAGAATGGTTTGGGTTGGAAGGGACCTCAAAGCTCATCTAGTTCCAACTCCCCTGCCATTTTTTTTTTCCTCCTGTCTAAAGAATTAAAAACATTACAGCAATACCAGACCATAGAAATCACTGTTATCCACTCTGAATTTTTATACTTTTATAAATCACAGAGTAATTTAGGTTGGAAAGGATCTCTCGAAATCCCATGGTTCAACCCTCTTTCAACATATAGGCAATTTATATTAGGGTGCTTACAGCCCTGTCCAGTCAGCTTCTTTGTATAACACAGAATAGTTTTCACAATCTGTGAAACCTGTTCCAGTGCTTAACTACCCTCAACAGGAATTGTTTTTTACCCTAGAAACTAATCAGAATCCCACTTTTTCTTTTTTTGTCCACTACCCCTCATCTTATCATTGTGCATCTCCAAGGAAAGTCTAGCTTGATCTTCTCTGTGCCTTCGCAGTAGGCAGTCCACAACATCACTGCAATCAACTGCTCATTAAATTTGCTAGGATAAGTATTTTATTTCAGAAGCATTTTGATGTTACAAAATCACCTATACTAATCAGGTTAGTTTAAAGCTTACCATATGTGGAGCACTGATTGTTGCTTGGAAACCTGTAAAGCAAGAGAATGAAAGAACATTTTGACCATTGTTTGGACCAACACAATCTTTATTACCTTGACTATAAAATGGTATGCTTTAACTGTCACCCTCATTCAGGGGATTACACACACAAACCCCTGAACAGTTACACTGGTGCTCCAGAAATGAGTTAAGGTACATTATCTCAAAGCTATGCCATGTCAACTGTGGACAGAAAAAAAACAAGGGTTCTGCCCTTGACCTCAGTTTGAATCTCCATTTCATCACTATATTGCCTTAGCTTGATCAAGCATGTTGAATTCAAAAGAGTAATGATTCCCAGAATAACATAATGCCTTTTCCCCTCAGGCCATATGTAAAAGCCTGAACTTGTCAGTTGAGTTTTATGTGGTGGGGACCATATTGTCTTGAACTTCTGGAGACAATAACCCCATCTATCTTGCAAACAGCACACATCTATGAGAACACATAGAAGAACACTCACCTATATTTTTTCTGTGAAGCACACATATGAATACATACTCAAAAACTTACGTATCTTTAAAAATTCTTGAGTTTTCCTATACAACTACTAAAATCCTAATATAATTCATAGTTCTCACCACTCACTATTAGGGTGGGGTGTCAAAAAAAAAAAAAAAGGAATATATTCACTTAATTCATTCTGCTGGCTTGGAAAGATAAAACTGGGATCTGGATGCAAAATAACAACTGTCTTATCAAGAGATTGTCCCATTTAAAGCCTATGTTCATTTTAAAAATTAAGTCACATGTAAAGGCTTAAGGAACTCTGCATTGATCTCAAATAAATCATTTATGTAAAGAGAAAATGTTTCTGGCGTAAACTGGATACGAATGATTTTTAAGTAGTTAAAGATTATCTGCACCATCACAAGTTGCTGTGTTTAAAAAAAAACCCCATACTTATTAATAGACTATAAGACATTTATCCTGATGTATAGAGGCCTGTTTTTTAAATTAAAAAAACAACTTTATTTCATAACAAACTGAAACTTAGTTAAAAGGTATTGAATAAAGAAATACAGAAGCTTCCAAAATTTAAAATATTATGTTCACATTCTTAACACATATATGACAAAGGCGGTCACAGTAATGCAAACTGGAACAATCTCAATCATTTTTACAAGATGCTCTTACCTATAGACTGTGGAGAATCCATATAAGGGTTGTATTTTGCATAGTGGCAACGGTCTGTAGCCAGCATCACTTCAAATACCTTGTCTGATTTGATGATCCCATTTTCTATAAAATAGAAATAAATAAGTAAAATTGAAGGCATTGCCTCTCTACTGCAATGCAAGACCATGTGAAATACATTAATAAATTCCTAATATCGTGAAAAATCATGTGACCTTCCTTACCCTCTCTAATACTCTAACCTCATCATACTAGAATTTAAGATGCTGTTCACAGCTCAAATATTGCTTAAGCCAGTGAACTTTGAACAAGAATGTCCCAGTGGTTACAGATGCTTTCTGAAACAGACCATTTTCAAAGATTTATCTATCCCCTAGAAAAACTCAACTTCATGCACACCTTTGATATTCCTGACAAGATAAGTCAGTAAGAATCTGATACTACTCTACACACCAAACAAGATATACTTCAGGTTTCTAAGCAGCTATATAAGTGAGTCATTATCAAAACACATACAAAAGCAGGTTAGAAATGTGAAGATGCAGTATCATTGCTCAGTATTTTATTTTCAAGATCTTTTCCTCTTTTGAGTTAGCAGAACAAAAAAAATCCTTTTATAAAGATTACAGAATCACAATTCTTATGCTGGAGCAGACTGAAGCCAAAGAGTTTTTATATCAAAATACTTTGAATCTTTGTTCACTTTTCAAAATAAAATGCAAATATAGATGCATGTAAATGACAGAAACACTGTACAGTGCAGCCATTTTTCCTTCCTATTTTATTGAAGTTTTTTAACTTTGATAATTCTTTTTTTACAGTTCTGAAGAGACATATATGAGTAACAAAAAACTTTAGAAAACAAATGGAAAAAATTAATCACTTGCATTAAAAAGACAGTATAAATTACAAATAACTGACATTTCAACAATGGATTGCTTCATTGAGCTACTTACTTTAAAGAAAGAAGATTTTATTTAGAAAATTGTACTTAAAAGGGAAGAAAAAAAATAAAAATTGAGTACTTTATAATCTAACCCAAAACACATTAACAGAAAAATCAGATTAAAAAACTTTTGTAAGATTGTCCTAACTGAAGTCGCATCAACGTTTTAAAGTACTATCACTAATGAAGCCATGCCAAGGCCTGGGCTTCCTTCTGCAGAGGCTTCACTGAGTGTTTATGGTGTGATCCCAACTACCCTGAGCTGTCAGGGATTTTTTTTATTTTGGTTATACTATATAGCATAAGCTTGACTTCAGAGAGCAAAATAACCCCTCAAATCAGTTTGGTTTTTAGTCTGAAGACAAAGTATCAACTGCAATAGGAATATACTACCAAATTATTAAGGAAAATTTCTATTAAAAAAAAAAAAATCTTTTTCAGAATTCTTTCTGTATCTGAGAAATCCCAGAAAAAGCACACACTCCCCTCAAAGACCATACACATATCCTGTGCATTATACTGTATACTACAGTTCCAGTTAGAGGAAACTCATTTCAGTGCAAGCTTTTTAATCTGAGAGAGTAGTTGATTGCAGCAGTTTATAAATTTACTTCACTGAGCAAAACTGTACCCCAAAATAAATCAATCTGTTAACACTGGCACTGACAATAGAAGATAGTAAGGAAAATAAAAGCTTTCCCCTGACCACTTGGAATGAGTTGTGTATCAGTTCTGTGATCAAAGTACAGAAACAAAACCAAACAAAAAAAAAAATTTACCGTTAGATTCTTACGTGGTACCACCAAGAAATAGTAGCTCCAAAATAAATGTACTTAAAAACCAATAAAAATAAATAGGCAGGAGCATAAGCAAAGCCAATGATAACAGGCATAAAGAGATCACTGTTCTGGTGGGTGAAAAGGAGGTCAAAAAGCAGCAGCTAAGAAGCAGTCAGAAAAGATCTAAATATTGCAATTTATTACTTGAGATTGTGTATTGTGTATGTAGATACCTACATTCTAGAAGCTACAGGTAGCCATCTGCTCTTTCCTTTTGTGTCTTCTGGAAACATGCAGAGAATATGAAAATCAAGCTTCCAGCTTGAAAGAGCAACTGCAGGGCCCTATTGTAAGGCTGAGAACCTCCTCTAGTTTCCAGGAAACCTTCTCTGTACTACTGTGACTGCAGGCTTCTTCCAAACCTCTTCTTTCACACTACCCATTATCCGTTTCCGCCTTTTGCAAAACTCCATGCCTGCCACCTCACCTCTCTCATCTACTCCTGTCATCTTTTGCTTAGAATATAAGTAAATTCATCTCTCAGCACTCAAAAACTTTGTTTTCTCTATTCTATTACTTTACTCGTATTTTACTCATTCTTCCCCCAACTTGTTCAATCAGAGCTCTGACAGATATTGTCTGTGGGTATCTGTGCAAAGCAAAGCACAAAACTCTGTTTCAGTCCATGTATAACTTCACCAAGTATGATGCTTACACTGACAGATAATTAAAAAAAACAAAAACAAACCAAAATCAAAACAACCTGAAAACAGTAGGCACTATTATTCTAATATTCTACAGATTCTGAGCATTTCAGCTGCTCTTATTCAGCACTCAGATTTACTGTTGGACTATCTTTAACGAGTGTCATCTTTTCCATTCCAATAAATAAGAAGTTAAGCAAGTAACCCATGCTCAGAGTCCCCTGCAGAACCAGTGGGAGAAGCTGGATCTCATGCATCAGCCATGTACTTCAATTATCAAATAATACTCCCTCTTCATAAAAGAATACACCCTCTCAGCTATGAATGTGGAATTACAGGGCATCACATTATTCCCCATAGATTAAGTCTGCTTTTCAAATTTGCTTATTATATAACAGAGACAACAACAAATTTTAGGTGGGAATTAAGAAAAGAAATCAAACCTTAAACAGTAAAGTCACTACTGACTTTATAGTGATTTCTTCTTTGTTGATAACAAAAAGGATTTTTCTTAGTCTCATGGTTGAATATAGAGATATACTGCAACTGCAGGTTACTGAACTCCAATGGAAGTCCTTTCCTTCCTGCAACAGTCAGTCCCAAGATGATCAACTGCCAGGATCTTAATTCTGTCTGGAACAAATATCTATCAGATTCTGAAGTCCAGAAAACAAGTATATGCCCTAAGAATCCAATAATAGCAGTTTATACTGCAAAGGCGACTTTCTAAGTTCATGCCATATCTAGGTGCTGAAAAATAAGACAATTGGCAGTAAATTATTTATTAACAAAATGTCAATGCAAAACTTTTTCTAAATCTTAAAAGGAAGCTATATATTGCAGGAAAGTAATTCACAACTGAACGTACGTAGGTTGATTATCCTTTCCAACAATAACTCTCTTTGAGGAGACTGGTGGGTTTTTTAAGATTCCAGTAATCAGTACTGCAAACAAATCAGATCCTAAATTATTAAGTGTTTATATGCAAAGGCTAATACACAAACACACCAGCTTACAGTTTAAAATCAAACATAAACTCTCTGATTTATTAGAGTTGTATCAGCAAAACTCCTAAGCTTCGAAGGGCTAAAGCTGAAAAGTAACCACTTAAAGAGTGGAGCCTGGCCTGCAGAGTTCAAGAGTTACTCTGTATAGAGGCTGCAGCAATGACAACTTGACATAATTGGAACTTGTTTTGAAAACTCATTCTGGTCTGCTTCTTTTCCACAAAAAAAACAATCATGAAAACAGGAAAACGAGCTCACAGCGCAGCCCTTGGATTTGAAGGTGGAAATGTACCAGGGCTGAACAAAACCTGGGAAACTGGGCAGTGGGCTGTCAGAAAGCAAGGACAAAAAGAGCTAAGGTCTGAAAAGCCACCATGGACTCGCAACAAGTAAACAACCTATCTTTTTTCTTCAGCAGCAAACACATTAGTGAAGTGTTTATCTTTCAAAGAACTGCCTACATTACTGATGGTATCCTGACTGTTGATCAAACAAGTTTCCAACCAAACCATAAAATACAAGCAGTTAACATTTACACCAACACTGGCTTCCCGATCAGAAGGAGGGTGTCTCATTGCCACATGATAAGATCCAGCACACAAGCTTACTATACAAACTATAAACAGCTACTCAAACACCTCCGTTGCTGGCTTTACATAAACAACACTCATGCAGATTCCAAAACCATTTACTGTAGGACTATTTTGGCATCCATATAGTTACGTTTCTCCCCAGATAACTTTCTCCATACCTACTCCAGAGAACTTTACTTACGAAGATGACTTTTGAGCAACAGTGGTATTTTTAAATCATACAGAAGTCTTAAAGCATGATGCAAAGCACAGAGCTCTATATTACCACAGATGAAATCAAGTAGATTAATATTACTCGACAACTCAGAGTTTTTAGATGTCTCCATCTGACCCACATAAAACAGCTAGCAACTTTCAAGAGGAAAGTCGGCAGAACAAAACCACATCTTGATTTTTAAGCAACGTGAAGTTAGTTGGTTTTAGGCAGCTGATCGACTGATTTAAGGTCTTTTTGTGTGGGGAGAGAAAAGAAAAAGATAAGAAAGAAGCAATTCAGTTAATATAATTTTATTTAATGAGCACAGGAATATTTCACTGTAAATCATGAAGACAAAAAAGGCACTTTGAACAAGAAGTGATGGATCAGCATCCCAAAGTCCAATAAAGGACACTTGCCCCAAAACATACAAAGTTCTTTGTGCTAAAGAAACTGGAAGTAGGTGTTTGCAAACAAGTGGGTTCTTTTAAACTACTGATACATACAAACCTTTTGTGCTTTGCTGCTAATTTCAGAGCATCTGCTTCAAACATTCACCTGCACGTCTGTTAGTATTATGATTTGGATTCACAATAATACATTTTTCAAACAGAACATTGCATACAGCTAACTGGAGGGAATTAGTTGAGAGTATGTCACTCTGAGACACAATAGAAAGACTGAGGAAAGTAAGGGCCCATCGGAACTAATCTTACGGTCCAGAAATTAAACACAAAGATCAAATCCCATGAAAACCTCAACAAGGCAGAAATTAAAAATAAAATAAAAAAAAATAGCATCTAAAACACACAGAGGTAAAAATACATGGGAACAAACAACTAGGTTCAACACAACAAACAAGTGTGCAGACTCAAGATTAAGTTACATACAAACCTACCCTCCAAAATTTCACTTCTGCTTTACAGGAGTACCCCTTCCCTATTTAATAATGATCATCTTCATAAACAGCTTGCCCATTTTGATAGAACGGGTAAGAGCTCTATATTAATTTTTATGGATCTGAAAGTCTGCAGATAACCAATTTAGACATATTTAATCACAGTTGTATTCCTCCCTCAGACTATAAGCCAATGTTGCAAAATTGGCATTAACCATTTCCTTCTCTGAGGGCGGAGAAAACCATGCTAGCTCTTGGCTCACAGTCCCCCAGTGCATATCTTTATCACAAAGGCCATCCATAACGTACTCATATTTATCGCAATAGTTATGCCAACTTTGCCTAAATCTGTATCAGCAGCTGACTGAAAAAAGTTTTGGGAGTACATGAAAGAAGAATGTGACTTTAAGGTTGGGTTTAGCATGCAAGAACACAGCACTGCACTTACCAAGAAACACCTGTGTGCAGATGAGAGACTTTACCTCTGAGCATACCTTTATCCCTCTGAGAGGGCTGAACTTCTCTAATTACATGGAGTGTCAAAACTGAAGAGTGCAATACGAAGTGGCAACAACTAGCAGCAGTAACTAAAAACTGTTGCAGAGGGTAAGATAAACTTAGCTGGATTAAGACGGACAGTTAAGGAGCTCGGTTCACAGTAAGGCTTGAGGCAAAACTTCTTTTATAGCTTTAGCAGATCTTTAACGGCAGATGATGTGCATCTTACACCACTTTGCTGATCTGTTTTCAGAGAAGACAATACTGTCAAGACCAGCAGTCAGACCACATGAAGAGCCTGTTTTTAGGGATGTGGTAACATTAAAACAGGTACTAGTATTATGCAAAAGCTGTGAAAGATCAAAAGATACAGGAAACATGAACCTGTCTCTTCAGACAAAATGACACAAAGCTGTCATACTAACAGAAAGAAGGAAAAATTTCTGAAGTTACATTTGTCTGACCATCTCTTCCAGATTTTGACAGTACAAGCATTTAAAACTATTTCGTGCTCAACTCCAGTGTTACAGCATTCAGGTTCTTAAGTCTTAAAACATAACTTGCAAGTTAACCAGTCCAGGAGAGACATCATTCCAAAAGTTTAGTGGTCCCAAGCTCTTAAAGAGTTTACTCTGGTTTTGCCAAATTTGGTAATTGAAAACAAAATTAAAAACACTAATAAAAACAACCTCACCTTGTAACAGTGTTAAGAAAATATTTTACTTGAAAGTGTTATCGTAACGCTAACAAACATGACTTTGATTAGATGCATACAAATGATCATTCAAAAGAACACAAACTGTATGCATTTCTTTCCAAGTTTACCAACAGCTTTTAGTGAGCTTTTGATACTATATCAGGATGAAAGAAACTGTAGCATTAAAATAAAAGCTTAAAGTTATATAGAAACTAAAACATACAAGATTCCATCTTTTTAACATGGCCACAAGCAATGGTAGTCATCTGTATGGGGCAGATTTGCAAAATTATTTCCATTTTACTAAGGATTATTAGGCAGCTTCAGACTATGAGAAAGAAAATATTATGCCATTAAATCCAGAGACAATTAAAAAAATAAATCTTCAATCAAGCAACAGAACTAAACATCTTTAAATTAAAATGACTGATTAAAGTGTTGGGATAATAAGAAGCCACCAAAACCATGCTCTCTTTTTTTTTTTCCCCTGAATGACTGAGGACTTGAACTTTGTTGCATTGAATTTTGGGGTTGCTGTGAGAAAGAATGGGTATGTTTTTAACATTACATTGACAACTTGTCTAACATCAAGGGGAAAAAATATGCCAACAACAAAGAACCAGTTAACAACACAATCTTAATTTACATACATCTAAAATATGATCAATGGTTTTGAAGTTAACACTTCTTATTTTCTGGCATATTAAGTTGTCTTAAAAAGATCACGCATCATTCTTCAGTCACCTAAGTATGCACTGAAAAACATGCAGCATTCCATGGCCTGCTTGGTTAGTTCGTCCCTTTTAAGACATGGAAGCAAGCATAAGGCTTGTAAAGAATACCTGCCTAAATCTGCAAACAAATACACAAAAAGCTCTTACCACTGCTCTAAAACAATGACTGTTACAGTGAAATGAGCAATGAACATATCTTTATATAGTTTCACTAACTCTGAGAACTGTAGTGCCACAAAGAAGTGCTGGTAACAGTCCATGACAACTTATAATGAAGAAAAATCTTCAGTGCTATTTTCAAGGAAAAGAATATGTGGCCTACCAGTTTTCTACTGACATTTTATGTGGAAGCAAAACCAGTTTAAGAAGTTCCCATTCTCCCCAGTCACTTATACCTGTAACAACATTCACTGCTTCTCTAACCACAATAGCACAACGGGTTACAGACATTGAGGAGTATAAACCCCAGTGTTTCACAAGAGGAGTAACAAGAAAGTGGCCCAGTCTTACAACACTGCCTCCCTCACAAGCAGTTCTGTAAGAACAGTGAAGAAAAGACTCCTGGTGCAAGGGCAGGAGCAAGAACCTCTCAATGCAGGCTTTGCTGCAGAACACATACTGTGTCACTATAACCTGTGTTATTTCCTTTATTTTAATTTATGCAAATCACACGCTAAATTACACATTCAGTTACTAAGCTACGAAATAAACACTTGGACAACTTCATCTGCCTTGCATTCTTACTTCTAACATAAAAATGCCAGAAATGTTATGCTACTTAGCTGGTTTTAGAGGAAAAGAGAGGTTAAAGACATTGAGGGATCTTCTACTACTCAGAAGGAATTCTCCAGAACATTTTAATCTTTCTGCAACCAATGATTTTTAAGTTTGTTAAAAAAAGTATCTGAAAGAATAACACTTTCTTCAAAAGTTGTTCCCAACTTCAGCAACAAGGTATAATCTTACCTGGAGAACTCTTCAGTTACCATCTTAATGCTCCAACTGCTCTGCACTGATTAAAACCCTATGCCTCAGCAGAGCCCCACTGAGATCAACAACACAATCCTGCTGCAAGATCAAACGGCTGCCTCCAAACCATTTTCTTTCCAATGTTCTCTTTAACATCCCCTTAAAATATTTGGCATACATATGCAAAAGGGGGGGGGGGGGCGCGGGGGGAGGGGAAATTACAGACTGTAACTTTGCAGGCAACTACCATCACTGCATATTTTGAGATCACAACATTAAACATGCTAGTTTAATCTCCTGTTGTTGGTTACTGGTAATGGTTTTTAGCTTTTTCATTATTATTATTATTTACAAAGCCCTAAACAGTTTCCATGTGTTGAAAAATACTGTCATTGTTTTCTTCAACAAATAATTGGTTTTGCCCTCGGGTTCTCAGAGCCATTGACAATTCTGGCAATAACAACTTTTTGGATGTATTTTGGAGCTTGACATTCATTTTTAAGTCAGAAAATTTTTCCCTGCTGTGTAAGGAAATAGAATTTCACTGAAACAGTATTTCTAGACCTTACAGTTGCAAAATGAAAAAAAGAAACTAACAAAAAGCACTGTAACTCTTGTAATTAGGTAAGTTATTATTTATTTGTTAGCTTTTACAGTGAAACTGAAAGTCACTTCAGCAGTTATTGCTCCACTGGATGGAAGTGCTCTCAGAAGAGCAGAAAAAGAAAATACTGGAAAATACAAGATTATCTCACAGAAGCAGACTAGAGAAAGCAACGAGGAATATTCTCCTCTGTCTCCAAAATCACGAAGAGGCCAAACAGGTGAATCTGTCTGTGGTCTTGCAGTATTACTAAAATAGGAGACAATTGTATAATAGAGGCTCCAAATCTACAACCTTTCATGTTTAGGCCACAGACTTGAAGAGAGGAAAAAGAAGACCAGGAGTAAAGACACTACAAGTGTATCTAATACAGACTACTCCGAGGCGAACATGAAAAATCGTAAACTCTAAATAGAGAAGGTGTTATCGTCCTGTCCTCTCAGCCTGGATCACCGCTAGAGACCCAGCGGACTCCAGGATGCACTGAAGAACACCACTGAAGAGCAGCATCCGCCCAACACCCTCCACGTTCAGCACGGGAACAGCACAAACCTTCGGGAAGGACAAGGAACGCCAAGGACCAGGCAGTCGCCGGAAAGTTCGGCGGCAGCAAGAGCGTGTAATATCGACAGCTCCTCTCTCCTATCCCACCCCTCCGAAAAGAGCAGCGGGGGGACAGGGCCGAGGGCGAGAACTTGAACCCGAGTGGACTACTGCTGCCGCTGCCAGACGCCCCTTCCATCCAACAAAAACAACCCTGGCCTCTCCGGCGCGCTTCCCAGTCCCGGACAGCTCTCACTACGCTTAGCGGGGGCCGGAAAAACCGACGGACGGTGTATGCGCTCCTGCCGGCACCACCGCTCCCCTGCCCGCCCGGCGAGGGGCCCCAGGGCACCGTCCCCGCCACCCGGCGGCCGTGCTGAGACGGCACAGGCGCCCGGAGCGAAGCCAGAGGGACGCTGAGCCCACTGCGTACGGAGGATCACGGGCCCTCCAGAGCTGCCGCCGCGGCCCCGCCTGAGCTTACACAAGAACGTTACGGGCAGACGGGGCGGCGGGAACGGGGCCGCGGCGGGGGGGAGGAAGCGGCGGGCTGACAGCAGCCACTGCCGCCGCGTAGCGCTTCCCCTTCGGGACCGCCATCGACGCCAGCCCTGCCGCCGCATCTCCTCCCGCAACAACAGCCCGGGCCCGCCCTGCACCAGCGGCCACCGCCCTCCACCCGGCTGCGGACACCCAGACACACACCCCCCGCCCGGGCGCCGCCTTCGCCTCCTCCCCCCGCCGGCGCTGCTCCTTGACAGTTGGCGGCTGGGCGGGCGCCGCGGGAACGCCAAGTGTGCGCGGCCGAGCGGCCGGTAACGGTCACCCCGCGGCTGAGCCGAGCAGCGGGGCCGCCAGCCCGGGACTCACTGCGGAGATTGTGGATGAGCTCGGAGTGGCTGGCGCCTCCCGACTTCCAGGCCATCGCTAGACACGCTCTGCGGAGCAGGTACAGAGCCGCCTTCAGCACCGCGACTGCGCACAGCAGCTTCCCCAGGAAGGACACAACCTCCAGCGCCGACACAGGCACCGCCTCCTCGCCGCCGCCGCCGCCTCCTCCCCCTCCCGCCGCCGCCGCCGCCGCCGCGCGCCCGCTGAGGGGAGGGGCCACGCGCCCACCGCCCCGCGCGCCCGACATTCTCCGGCCGCCGCCGTTGCCCTGCCAGCCCCTGGCGGCCCCCGCGCATGCGCGCCCACCGCCCCCGGGAGCGCGCGTGGGGACATCCCCACGCGCCGGACCTCGCCAGCCCCGACGGTGCCTGAGGGCTGCCAGCAGGCGCGGGGAAACCGGCTTGACCTACCCCCTTCCCCCCCCCCGCGGTGCCACCGGGGGCACCCGGTAACGCACGAGCGCTCCTGCTGCCTCAGCACGTCGTGGCCACTCGCGCGGGAAGGCGGAGCGCACGGGCCGCTTAATCCCTCGTGCCGGTAGCGCCCTCCGGCCCTGGCCCGAGCCCGGAGCCCTCCCGTCCCCACAACTGCCATCTGCGGCGCCTGTCGCGGTGGTAGGGCGCGGGTCTGGTTGCAGGGGCCCCGGGTCCCGTGCCTGCCTCAGAAGTGGCACGGCCATGGGGCGGGCCGGGTCTGCGAACTCAGGAGCTGTGTTAATGAATGAGCTAGCAAAAAGCACGTCAGTTCTCGCACACCGCCAGGGCCCCTCTTCCCCGGCTTCGGCCGCTCCCATGAAGCGAGCTGCCACATGCCCCACCCCGCAGAAACCGAGCGGTGAAACCGAGGTACCCAAGCAGCTCGCGCCCCTCCGCCCTTGCGACAGAGCCAATTATCGCCGTCCCGCGGACGCGGTGCTGTGCACGGGGCGCCCCGATTGGTCGCGACCAGCCGGCGCGGGCCAGGCCTACGTGTTGTAGGCTGCCATTGGTCAACTGCCGCGCCCTGCCCCGGCGGCGCGAGATTATCAGCGGCGGGCTGGCGGCGCATGTGGGGTGTCATCTGGAAAACGACACAGAAGATGGAGAGGGGAGGCGGGTTACGGGCGTTGGCATCTGCGTCTATAGCTAAACGCTGCCAGGTGATCTACAGCAGCATCGTCTGGCGCGACGCTGTGGTAGGACGAGGTTAGAAATTAGAGTGCCTTTTAAGAGGCGTCTAGGTCACAACATCAGTAACTCAGAATTTAATACATGCCAAAGCACTGCTTCTGCTGTGGCCTTTACTCTGTCCCAGCACAGGCACACGATGAAATTGTAGTCCCAAGGGAAAAACAGCACTGTTGGTTCATCCCATTGTAATGCAGAAACACACAGAATTAACTTCCGCTGTCATGACGTATTCCTGGGTACTCCTGACCTCCTTCATTATTAGTTTTACCAGCTATATTCATTTGCTACCTGTTATTTATATGTGTGTCTATTGGTTTTAAGGGAAAGCAAATTCCAACAGCAAACAGCTTTGGGGAGCCCTGCTGCTGCCAGTGCTGTGACTTTTTTCCTTTGCGCCCCTTCTGGTCTCTGTGAACAAGCTGCCACATGCCCAGGACTGCAATTGTACAGTATTTCTTCTCTTACCCGGGGGCAACAGCACAGGTATGTAATTTATGTGGTAACAGACAGCAAAGGTTTCAGTTCTTTGCTTTTGAAAAGTGAGAATAGTGACGCGTAACTATGAATAGGTAGGCCCTATCAATAGTGCATTGTATAAACATTAGAGAAAATAAGGTATCATCCAGCAGATATTTCAATTATTGTATTGTTTCCTAAAAGCATTCCTGATAACAAGGACACACGGCCTAACATTGTGGCAGACACAGGTATCGTCTTGGGTGCAAAAACCCACCCTGGGAGGGATGAGCCTGTTCCAGCTTCACACAACACATATTCCCCATCCCATTGTTGCTGGTTCACATGAAGGTGGGAATCTGATTTTCTGGCTATCAGTCAGTCCAGGGCAAATCTGGCAGTTGCCCAATGCGTACACCAGTACAGTCCCACCACGTACACCATGGTCCCACCTATAGACTTCCAAGACCTTTCCCATATGGTTCTTTTACTCCTGGAGGGAGATCCACTGCTTTATTCGATATTCTTCACCTAACTTCTCCTAAGCATGGCTTGGCAAATGCCTTACAGTCTGTGAGGGACTCCCAGCCTGCCCCAGAATATAAAAGGTCTCCCTGTGCATCCAGTGGGCTGGAAGAGAAAGAAGCCATGGAGTTATAGGAATTCCTGAAGGGCAGCAAGTATAGAGAACAGACAGACATTGTAAAAACACACACACAAAAATACTTCATTGTTTTAAATGCAAAAAGCATCTTCTGTTGTCAGATGCAAGCAAGCTGCATTGCTCTCACATAGAGAGGTTGTTGGCAAGAAACTAGCTGGCCCATGTTTAAAAGCATTCCAGGGATACTTACCCCCTCGGGAGACCAGAAACACAAGAGAAACCATTTATATACAAACTGACGCTGCTTACCCATACAAGCTTGAATTAGGGTTGAGCTTGTCACAGGCACAGGGAGAGCCCACCTTTATCTCTTAAGCACGCAGACCTGCCCAGGTGCTTTTGGACTGAAAGTACTTGTTGGCCATCTCTTGGCTACATTCTCAGCATGACTATTCAGAGAATGACAACAACATAACTGTGAGCCTTCCCAAGCGATTTCTGGGGTGTCTTGGATGGATACCAGGCATGCGTGAAGGAAACAGCACTTGGCTTGGCAGGTTTCCATAAGCTTTAAGACAAACCAAGTTGTCTCAAAGAGCCCTGAGAAACCAACATGTATCAATAGCAGCACGATTCACCCATGTGTGCAGTCAACAAATGTGAGGGTCCTTAGCTCTTTCTGCTCTATAATCCTAGGCCATGAGCGCACTTTTTAATCTTATTAACAGCATATCCATTAAGATAAAACTAAAAGGAACACAGGCATTCCATACTAGAGTAAAAGACAAGCAGAAATAAAAAAAAAAAAAAACAAAACAAAACAAACCAACCAACCTGTTTTCTGGCCATCAGCATTCACGTGGAACCCCTCCATCTGTTCTGACACTCAGCATTCCTGTTATCCACTTCCTCTCACTTGTCCAAACCAGTGTAAACACCTTGCTCCCTGGATGCTCACTGTCAGTTGCAGGCACCTCCAACTTCCACAGGTACAGCCATTTCCAGGGAGCTGGTTCATGGATAACCCTGTTAGGGAAGAGCCATGGAAATGCCAGCAGCCAGTGTGGGCTGTCACTTGATTGTTCTGATGTGGAGATCCCACTAATTGTAAGCACATCAGATCTCTCTCCTTTTCTGCAAATTCACCCACATCTCAATCCCTTAGCAGTACTTACATACATTTATATAAAAAACCCTCCATGCTACTATTTCTGTTTCATCCCTTCCCTCCCACCTCATGAACCCATTATATTTTTCAAATTCTTTGAGTTTAAAGCATATGAAAAGTTGATCATCACTGTCTGATCCCATCTGCTTCTGCATATACATACCACAAGCAGAAATTTCCTTGTGAAATGAAATGTTCCTGCTGAACATTTCCGCAGTTCTGTCCCAAACCCCACACTAATTGGCTTCTATACGTACACTCCTCTCCCTGCTTCCATTCTGTTTTTAACTTCATCGCTCTCCTTCATCTCATCATTTCCTGTAAACTCCAGCCAGTTTGGTGTGTACCTTCATTTTGTATTTCCCTGTCAGAAGTTTACATTCTTTTGAACTCAGCATCCCTCTTTTCCCAGTCCTGCACTCAGAAAGGATGTGAGAAGGACCCAGACTTTCCTCATTAGGGCAGAGAAGGAGTGGGACCCCTCCATGAGTAAAGGTGAGCTGGGAGCCAGGGATGAGAATACCACACAGCAAGACACCATCCCAAGCAGAGCAGGTCTACGGGTGGTAATGGTTTTGCCACCAAGCAAAAGCTAAGTGACAAGTCAAGTCCCAAGTCAAGCCCGTCACCAAGTCAGAGGCATGGCTGGGTGCAGGCCCTACAACACAGCTCAGGCCAGGAGTGGGTGGGAGCCTCAGGTGAGGGCTTGTGAAAGCCTTCAGGGCCCTGGCACTCTGTTGTTGTATCTGCTCTGCAGTACCCTGCACAGCGACTGTGCCTATTCAAGAGATTCAACAGGGCACCACTCCAGGAGTTATAATCAGCCGTAAGTATTATTCTGGCATCTGCAAATAACTTTCTTAAAATATTGTTAAATGATAATTGGAGGAAAGCAGATCACAAGCAAATAGAGCTCAGAATTAGCTTTACCCTGCCCTAATACATCCACTGATGTAGTAAGTGCCTTCATTCCCAAGCCCCCTAACCTCTGGCAAAGAGACAGGCATGCTTTCAGTTTTCCTGCTTTTCACTCACACTCCTAGCCTTAGCCACATTTAAGGTTGATCCATAGATGCTCCTTAATGTCTCAGCTAATATGTTTGGACCCAGTGCCCAAAGTCAGCTTTGTCTAGACTTAAGGTCCTTTTTGACTACCTGACATACCTGATGAGGCATATTTTCTCCTGGTGTTTGTTTCCTCCTTTTATTTGTTTTTTTAAATCTGCTATTACACTGAAACAGTAGTCATCTCTTATAGTTATCAGACACAGAGAATATATTTAAAGATATACAGAGCAGCCATAAATCCATCACAGGTCCAATCTTCACCACGTTACATTCTGACAACATTTTTTAAAACAAAAATTTAAGGCCAGTAAGAAAAATTGTGATTCTTCTTTCCCTCTCAATGAGAATAAGCCTCTCTGTCAAACCTACTCCCCTAAATCCTTTTGAACAAACAATCCTAAGCAAAGAAAGAAGCCATCCAAGAACAAGATAAAAAATACAGAAATCACAAAGTAACCCACAAAAAATACTTGGCTAATCAACATTTTGGTAATCCCAAAGTGTTCTCTCTTCCACTTTAAGCTATTTAGCCTGCAGCTGTATCCTGAGGATGTCTATTGACATTTCTCCCAGGTGTTAAGAGAATTAGCTGAAAATACTGCTGCAGTTGACAGTGACTTGCAGGATTGCTTTTAGCAGCTTCATACAGACTGCCAGAGGTATAGGGTACTCTTGAACAATAATGATACTGTGGCATACAACAAAGCTGGTTTAAGGTTTGCAGTATGTTACACTATGATACCATCCAGCTTTGTGAACATGTTGGAGTCTGCTGTACATAATTATCAAAAA